TGCTAGGTTACGGAAAAATCCTTTTTCAAACCCTTACTATTGACATGATTTTTTTTATGAAATTCTGAGGCCTCCAGCACATTTCCTATCAATAGTTGTTCAATCTCTTTCCTGTGTGTCCTGCAGAATGTCTGACAGACTCTTCTGTGAAGGAGGAATCTCAAAAGATTGTCCTGCATTATTTAGACAAAGTTCAGCTGTCACTTTCCTGTGAGTCCTGCATGTCCAGTATAGACAGCATACTTTCAGGCAGTCCAGGCAAGAGAAGTTTCTTGCCCACATGTCTAGCTTTGCCATAGTGAAAGCAAACTCCATAAGGAGTTTTTTCAGTGCCCATCATCTTCTCTGAAATAAATTTTTGCTGCCAGGAGCAAATGTGTCTCATTGTCATAGAAATCCCTAAGGTAACAAAGCATGTAAATGCCATATTCTATAGGTCTTTGAAGTGTTTGAAGACCATTTATCTATCTAAAATATATCTCTGTATGATCTTGAAACCTTGCCTAACACATCTACAAATTTGTTATAGATGAATAACTACTAACCTATGTTTCTTGATTATCCTAAATAGTTTAAATAATAGCTTTCAAAACCTAGAACTTTATCTTACATTTTAAAATGAACTGCATAAGTATAACACCTTGAACAAGAGTAGAAACATTTATACAGTGTAACAAAAATAATTTTAAATTTATATCAATACACTGAATGATAACAAACATCCATTACCCACCAAATAACCAAAGACCATCCATACCCTTGAACTCTTTGGAATGTGGGTGTCATTTTCTCCATAAGGCTTCCTGTTGTCTTTGTGGAAAGGCATTTTTAGGGTCCCTGAGAAAAACTGAGATAATGGCCAAATCCTGGGAAGACTAGCTATAACCATTGTTGATAGATATCACCTGTCAAGTTTCAGGAGGTCCCCTTGATCAAACCTGACCCATATTAACCTGGAATGAATCCATAGCCTCTTGTTTCCTGTGGAAACAAAAGCAAAACTGCTTCTCCAAAGTAATACATCTTTTAAGTTGCATTTTACAAGTACATTTTAAAGTTAAGACATCCTTAAAATATATAGGCTGGTTTATTTCATTAGTCCCTCTTTTAATCCCATGTCTCTTAGCTTATCAACTTACTGTTCACTTATCAACAATCCAAAAATTCAAAATCAAAACAATACTATATAGAATACAGATTCTCTGTGTATTTCCCATCTTATGTGGCTTTTTTCTTTTACTATCTATTTATAGACTTTATTATTTCTAAACTATTTATTTATTTCTGTAACTGTCCATACCCCTTTTCTTTCTTTCTTTCTTAAGCCTATGCACATTGTAAAATACACTGGAACCTATTTACAGTTTTTTTTTCTGTCTGAACACCTTTTACTTTTTATCATTTAGACTTTTTTGACCACATGAACCTTAAAACTGTTACTTGGAGTGAACCCACGACCCTGGGTTTGGACATTGGCACCTCCCACTTCTTGGATGGTTAAAGCCACACTTTAAACTCTGGGCCCGGTTGGAGGTCCATTTTAGGAACTGCATTTAATCTTCCTAACTGTAGCAATCTAATGCTTGTGTTGCTGCAGGCGGTATTTTCACTTAGTTTTTTCTTTTTCCTCAATGTACCTGCTGCACAAGGGCTTGCTGTAAGGCAGAAACTCTTAAAGAAGCAGTGAAATTCGAGCCCTGTGTTGGGATACAAAATTCTATTGTTTGTTTTTTTACTCTTTAATATTTGGAGAGCTGCCACCTAGGTCCCAAGTAAATATACATGGGGACTTATTATTAGTTGTAAATGACTGGCCTTAGCTTTGCTTGTTTCTAGCCAGCTTTACTTAAATTATCCCATTTTTTCTTTTGCTTCTGGGTTTTTGCCTTTATTTCTGTATGCCTTTCTTTACTTCTTTCTCCATAGCTGACTGTATAGCTGGGTAACTGGCCCCTGGTGATTTCCTCTCCTCTTTTTCTTGCTCCTTGATCTCCTCTTGCTCCTTTTCACCTATTTATTCTCTCTTCCTGCCAGCCTCTCCTATCCTTTCTCTGCCAAGCTATTGGAATTCCAGCTCTTTTTTTTAGACCAATTAGGTGTTTTAGATAGGCACAGTAATACAGCTTCACAGAGTTAAACAAATGCAACATAAAATAATGTAACATATCTTGGCATCATTAAACAATTTTTCCATAGCATAAACAAATGTAACACATCTCAAAATAACATTTCACAATAAGCAATAAAATTGTTCCGAATGACATATTGCTATTGATACCCACAGCTGGACTATGTGAAGAGAGTTAGGACTTTGAAGCACTCAGTCCTAAAAGAAATGTCTTTATCAAATCCTTTCTCTGAAGCCTCAGGGATCTATGCAGAAGAGGAATGAGAATGATTTTAAGAGCCAGAGGTGGTGTTTGTCTCCAAGAAAACTGCATCTTCAGACACAAAAGGGTTGATACAAATGTGAACTTACACAGTTTGTGCAGAAGACCTGCACAAGTTTAAACCAGATAGCATCTCTGTCTGAAGAAGGGTAAATAGACACAAATTTCCACCACTAACAAAGAATCCATTTGCAATTAGTGTATGCTTGGAAAGGAAAAATCTATTTTCCTCAATGTCGTGTCACTGAATTTATCAACCATGCTTCAAGCCAGGCCCTATGCTCAAGAGTAGTTAGCCAACACGAAACAGAATCCATGTTTCTTGTGTGCTTTTGGTTTGATATTTTTTTGTAGAATTTTTGTTGTTTATTTTTATTTTTATTTTTTTGTTGCTTGTGGGGCAGGACATTAATTTGTAAGGATAGGAAGATGGTGATGATCTTGGTGATGTTGGCGGAGGGGAAAGAATATGATCAAAATATACGGACGAAGTCCCAGACCTTGTCCAGAACCAGGTCAGGAATAAGGAGTTGAAGAGGAGGTGCTTTCAGTTCAAATAGAGGGAATAGCAGTGATTTTGAGCCCTGTCTCCTCCCACTCTCCAGAAGTCAGAGTTATACTCCATTGTTCTTATTCCAGAACGCCATCTGGGGATTCAGAGGGGTGTGGCTTCACACTGCAGAAGGCGTGGTCCTAGGCCTAACCAATCATCAAGGGAAGAATGCAAAAGTCCTTCCCAAAACGAATAGGGGGCGCTAGAGTTTGGCACCCGCCATTTTTTTCTGGTCTGGAACCTCCGGCACTGTTTATAGCTTGCAGTTTTTCTTTAGCTCCATCTCCTACTTCAGGCAAGTGAGTTTTTTGTGAAGGGCCTAGAACCTAGTTTGGGAGGCAGCACTTGCGACTTTGAGCTATCAAGTAGTGTGGCCCAGTGGAAGGAGGAGAGATTTTTTTTCTTTCACCACAGAAAGAGTGGGCAATTATTCCAATGGTCGGGGAACCTGGGATAGAGTGACTCCAGCGACATTTGTCAATGGCACAGCTGGTTAGGTTGAAAGCGCAAGAGTGATAGTCATGTGAGTAGAGTGGTACATCAGTCAGCAAGTGAGAAATTGTGGATGTTCTGTCTTGTGGAATATTCATGGGAAACTGGGCCTGAGGGATCCTTGGGAAAGAGAGTCTTCCACTCTGCCACTGAACCAGGGGGCGCTAGAGTCCAGGGTGCAGAGGCGATTAATCCGGGGAGGGACCAGCGACTGTGAACCAGGAGGCGCTAGAGTCCAGGGTGCAGAGGCGGTTAATCCGGGGAGGGACCAGTGACTGTGAACCAGGGGGCGCTAGAGTCCAGGGTGCAGAGGCGGTCAATCCGGGGAGGGACCAGTGACTGTGTACCAGGGGGCGCTAGAGTCCAGGGTGCAGAGGCAGTTAATCCGGGGAGGGACCAGTGACTGTGAACCAGGGGGCGCTAGAGTCCAAGGTGCAGAGGCGATTAACCTGGGGAGGGACCAGCGACTGTGAACCAGGGGGCGCTAGAGTCCAGGGTGCAGAGGTAGTTAACCCGGGGAGGGACCAGCGACTGTGAACCAGGGGGCGCTAGAGTCCAGGGTGCAGAGGCGGTTAACCCAGGGAGGGACCAGCGACTGTGTGGCTTGTGTTTCTACTGACTGTCTGGCGCCATTGTGGTAGTCAGAAGATGGTGAGGCTTTTTGTTAGTGGGGTAGGAGACCAGTCAGCAAGTGAGAAGTTGTGCAATCTCTGCCTTTTTCATTACTAGTGGGAGAGGTGGGAAGTGGCACAAGCGAATGGTGAGGAAGGAGGAGGAGCCTTCCACTCTGTCATTGTATACTGGTGCTAGAGTCCCTGCTGCACAGGTTCAGTGGGTAGCCTGTGACTGCTGTGGCTTGTCCTGCTTTCCCTGTGCCAGTGTGTCACTATGATGGTGAGGCTTTTTGTGATGGGGTGGTAAGCTAGTCACCAACTAAGTTCTGGCTTATGGAATACTGACTAGAGGTCTGGAGGTGCGGGTTTAGTGCCATTTGGTGGTGGATCTTGGGGAGGAGAAAGAGCCTTCCATTCAGCCCCATAGCTAGGGGGTGCCAGAGTCTGGGCTGCCCAGGCTCACCCAGTGTGTGTGTGTAGGAGGCAGGGGAGGTAACTCTGGTGTCTCCTATTGGCTGCCCAGCGCAATTTTGTGAGTCTGAGGATGGTGCAGCTTTTTGGGAGTCGATTGGAAGGCCAGTCAGCAAGAAAGAATTTCTTGATTTTTGTTTTTTTTTTTCAATACTGACCAAAGAGGAGGGAAGAAGGAGGAGAATCCTGAGGAGGCAGAATGAGTCTTCTATTCTGCCATAGAAATGGAGCACTAGAGTCCAGGATACCCAGGCAGTTAACCCAGTGAGGGGCCAGTGACTGTTGAGACCTCTTGTCACGAGGCCAGTGTTGTGGTGATTTGGGGCTGGTGAGTCTTTTTTTTAAGGGTCAGGAGTCAGATCATTGGGAGATATCTCCCAGTCTTAGGAAATTAAAGTAAGCGGGGGACCACAGATATTGAGATTCTGGGCAGAGAAAGAAATGACACTAAGTGATAATTGTGGCCTTCCTCTCCACAGATGTAGAGGGTGCTAGTCCCACTTCCTCTAGCAGTAACTTCTAGGAAGCCGACTGAGCAAGCCCTGTGAAGTTTCTTGGATTCCATTTTGTGGCCTGAAGGAGGTGAGGATTTTTATTTGTTTGTTTGTTTGTTTGTTTGTTTGTTTCCTTTGTGAGGGGAATAGATTCAGACCAACAGAGGTAACATATTTTCATCCCTTGGAGGTTCCAGGCAATTTACTATTTCCCTCATTTCAGAGGTTGAGGGCAGGTGAAACCTTTTTTTTTTTAATTTTCAAAATAAAATATAATTACATCCATTACCCTTTACTTTTCCTCCTTTTAACCCCAAATGTGCACCCCATTGCTCTGTCTCAGATTTATGGCCCCTGAATGTAGACGAATGTCTAAATGGTGTTATTAAATAAAAACACAGAGCCAAATATAGGGGTGAAATCCTTAGAGATCAGGGAAATAGGGAAAGCCACCAGCCAACTTACCTCACCAGCTCTGCAGCTTCCAAATGTGAGTTACTTCCTGTCTACCTACACTTTATATACCTTGCTTTTCTGCCCTCTCATTTGCTCTTAGCCCAGTTACCTCACTTCCTTGCCTGTCTGTAGAGACCTCTAGGTCTCCGTGGTTGGTACTGGGATTAAAGGCATGTGTCACCACGATTGGCTTTGTTCCCTAGTACGGCCTTGAACACCCAGAGATCTGGATGGATCTCTGCCTCCGGAATGCTAGGATTAAAGGTGTGTGCTGCCACTGCCTAACCTCTATGTTTAATATAGTAGCTGTTCTCTTCTCTGACCCCCAGATAAGTTTATTGGGATGCACAATATATCAACCACACCTGACCTCCTTTTCTTTAATTATTGTGTCATATATATTCCTAAATATATAAATATAATCTTCTTAGTCCATCTTGTATGTATGTGACTTAACGACTGACTACTCGGTATGGGAGACACAAAGACAACTTGTTTTAGTTTCTTAGTTATCAATACTAGAGTGATGGGGCTAGATGGGTGGCTCAGTGGTCAAGAGCACTTGTTGCCATTTCAGAGGACCCAGGTTCAATTCCCAGTCCCTGTATGGCAGCTCACAACTGTCTTAGGAAATCTGATTCTTTCTTCTGACCTCCATGGGCACCAGTCATGTATGTAGTAATCATACATATATGCAGGCAAAACACTCAGGCACAAAAAAATAAATGAAATTTTTTAAAAAAGTAGTTAAAAAAAAAGTTGAGTAAGAGTGGCAAGGACTCTTTTGAAAAGTTGAGTAAAAGTGGTAAGAATGTGGCTAAGTCAGTATCTATGTAGTAGGATGTCAAGTCCTTTGAGCATATGCCAAAGAGTGGCATAGTTAGATCATATGGTAGGGTTTTTTTCAACTTTTTTAGAATTCTCCACACTGAGTTCCAGAGTGGCTTTACTCATTTGCAATCCCACCAATAGTGAATGAAGATTCCCTTTTCCCAAATCTTTTCTAAAAGCAATTGTTGTCAATTGATTTGTTGTTGTGTTGTTATTTTTGCCATTCTGTCAGGGTAAGATGAAATAGTTTTAACTTCTGCCCTTAGTGTAACATAATCCTAGTGAGAGTAGGTCCCAGATCTATCCAGTCCTTTCAGATAATCGTGAGTGGAAGATATTGGTCTGAGAGTCTGACAGCCTGAGAATGAGCTCTGGTAAGTCAGTGTGGTTCTCCCATTGGAGTAGACTGAGTGAGGAAAATTTACTCCAACTTTTCTCCTTCCAATAAAAAAAGTAGGATCCTACAGTTTGTGGCTGCTTCATGTTTTTATCCTTATGAGGATACAGGCTAGGATAGATATGTGGAATGAGATGCCACTACTTCCATAAGATCTGCCAGAATCGAATGGGTTGGAGTGATTCAAGATGGTGAGGTCTTAGATGATCATCCTAGAGTATGAGAAGACTTAGTAACACTAAAGATGAATATACTGAGATAGGTCTTAGTTTCTGCACAGTATAACCAACCTTGGTAAGGGAATCACTGGATTTGTCGCACTTTTACCATTTTCTGAAGTATCCCAGAGAGGTAGAGGAATAATTTGATTATCATATGTGACGTCAGTAGAGGGAGGAGTTCTGGGGTCTGTCAAGAGCCAAGGTAAGGGTAAGTCACCATGAAAAGACTCCAACTCATACAAGATGAGCCCCACAGAAAGTCTACCTGTTCCTTATGTCAACTCTTAGAGGATATGGCAGAATTGGTTAAATGTGATATGTTCATATCTCCTCCAGAAGTGAGGTCATAGATTCAAGTGACAATGGAACATTGGAGGAAAAAAAAAACAAGAATAGAAATAAATATCATGAAAGATGTCTAAGTGCAGTCCTCTAGAAGAGCAGATGGGGTCTAGTCCTAGACAAAACATCCCTTCTTATAGAATCTCTTCATATTTTTCTTTAGAGACTCTTGAAAGTGTGACAGCAATTCAGCAGAGAGGACAACTAGCAAGTTTAGGACCTGTGTGAGTACTAGAATACCTCAACTAATGGACCTAAAAAGTCCAGCTGTCTTCTGTTCTCAGTCATCTGAAGGACCTAGGAAAATGAGACAAGATGTGGTACCTTGTCACTTCCTTTAAGAATAGGGGTGATCTCTGAGAGAGGTGAGATTTATGTCTAATTAGACATCCCATGGTTCAGACTCTGCAAAGAGTAAAGATGGATGATGTGAGAGAAGACTGAGGGAATGTACACTGTAGACCAGACAGGATCCAAACTCTGCTGTCTGCCTTGGAAGGTACAGCCAGTACTGGTCAGGTGTTATAACTTCTCATTGTTATGTGTATTCTCAGGGAAGTAAAGACTTGGCTCTGAAGAGGGGAGAGTATCTGTAGCAGCAGAGAAAGGAATCCCACATTTTAACAGGATTTCAGTAAAGACTCTGAAGAAGAGGGCATCATCCCTTTCTAGGAATGAAGGTGTTTCCTGCTCTACCTTACCTTACTGTCATCTATTAAAGACCTTGGGGGTCACAGTGAGGTATTCACTCTCACTTCCATTTTAGTGCTCACAAAGAAGTGGAGGCTTATTATGAAGGGGTAGACCAAAGGCAGCAGAGGGAGAAGTTTCGTGTCTGACACCAATATGAAGAATGAATCTACCTGTCACTTAGAAAAGTCAGATTCCCTACAATATGTGACCAGTCCTTACTGTATCCAAGAGAGACCCTGACAGGTTTATTTAGAGATGGTACTCTCTCCTCTCTTCCTTTTTATCTCAATAACTCATAAATATGATATATTTTTGAACATTTTATATCTCAGTACTTCCCCATCTAGCACATTTTTTCTCAACTTCATGTGCTCTTTTTTTTTAAACTAACTGAATATACTTAGTGATGCTTGTATGTGTCTAGGTGTAGGATCATCTGTTGATGTTGGGAGCCTTTCAGGAGTGGCAATTCTGAAGAAAACTGACCCTCCTTCCCCTAGCAGCCATCAGTTGCCAATAGCTCCTCAGAGAGAGAACTCCAAAAGCCACTCCTCCATACATGGTGGGATTTGGGCTGCCTTGATTCATGTGCAGATCTTTCACATGCAGTCCTGGGCACTCAGATTTCAAGTGTAAAACTGCTTCTTTTTGCCTGACAAATACTGTTTCACTGCAGGCATTCTCTAACTCTGGCTCTTAGTATCTTTCCATGCCATAGTCTAAGATGAACCCTGAACCTTCAGAGGTGGGGTATGCTATAGATATTTCATTTATGTCTGAGCACTGCATAGTCTCTTGTTTACCCACAGAGAAATTCTGTAAGATAGCTTTTGTCAGAATCATTGGAGGTAAACTTTTCAGCTCAGGCCATTTACACTATTTCTCTATCCTCTAGGCTTTTTAGGATCTCTTCATCTACATTTTTTTCTACTGCCTCCAGCAAGGGTCATCATGACTCCCTATGAAGGTTGTTCATGTCTCAGCCTTGAACAAGATTTTCTGGACCCAGTTAAATCACAGGATGAGGTTATTTTACTGATTCCCTTGGATGATTTGGAAGATGGTGTGGAAGAAATAATAGAAATATATGAAGAAATAGGGGATAATGATGAAGAGGATGGTGAAGATGAGGAAGAAGAAGAAACAGATGGTATTGAGCATGAGGAGTAGAATTGAGAAATAAAAAAGAAGGAGGGGAGGAGGAAGAGGAGGAGAAAAAGAAGAAAGGGAAGAGGATAAACGGGAGGAGGACATGGAAAAGGAGAATCAAATATCTCCTTGCCTTCAATTTATATTCCTCCTCTTATTCTCCTCTTTCTCCTTTCTTGTCCTTATCCTTTCTTGTTCTCTTCTCTGAACCAGGGCATGCTCACTGGGGGTTTTGTTGGGGTAGATAAATGTTACTCCTTGAAATACAATGTTTATTAGTTTTAGTTTTGCCATCTACTATTTTCTTCAGAAAATATTTTGGAAAAACTATGTGATGTTTTAGGATTCCTTTAAATATTACAGTGCATTATGTAAAATTAAATGCAATGTACCTTTATTTGTTAAGCTCATGCAAGAAAACAGGAAAATGTTAATAAATCTTAATAAATTTTGCTTACTGACTCATTTATTCATGAAATATGACTTGAGTATTTTCTCTTTGGAAAATACTGTGAATCTAGGGTGGGGTACATAGAAAAGTAAAATACTTCCCTGTGCATGTATTTTTTTTTTCCCACACAAACCACAAGGATTTCATGGGCAGAAGGGCACAAGTATAATGGCTTTTATTTTATTTGAAAAGTATTTTTCTGATTTGGTGTTCTTTCTCTCTTTTGACATACTCTAGGTAACAATGACAAAACTCAAGGAAAAAGATGACAGGGTGGGAGTAAAATTAGTAATATACAAACTAACTTCCATTCATTAAATACCCAGTATATTTTGGCATGGTGACGGGTTCTAGAGTCAAAACATTCGCACTGTGTTGCTTCATTTCTCAAACCTGCTTCTGAGAGAGCAAGTGAGGAATTCTGGTTCTTTGGAATTATCCAAAGACCACACAGGTTCTACTTAACAGGGCTAGACAAGAATTTTTCTATAATACATATTTTCCCATTTTCCCACCCTGATACATTTTGGTTTCTTAATTCATTTCTCACCATTGCAAAGTGTCTCAGATGACAAAAGGACAGTGTGTTGAAGTACTCAAAACAGAAGTGGGGATAAAACACTGTGTGATTTGTTTTCACTTTATACTAGTAAAGATTCTCTTGCATTTGTCACCAGAAAATTGAATAACTCACTGAGCACTGTTGCTGGTAGTTAAGTGCTGTCCCAACAGTTTCCTATACCATTGAGCCATCCCCTGCTGTAATCAGCAGAAATTATTATTCTACAATTTGGGAACATAACTTTCTGACAAGCTAATCACTGTTGCTGTCTCTAAAGGATGTGTCTTTCTTCCAGTACAATGGGCCAGATTCATCTACTCTTGCCTTGACATAATATCATGTTTCTCATTCTGAAGACCCTGTTCCAATTTAATCAATTTAATAATTATATAAATACATATATACACCATATATATATATATGGAGAGAGAGAGAGAGAGCGCGCTTATGGTGACACTTAATCCTCACTATAACAGTGTGGAGAGGTATGGTCCCTTAGAATTTAAGTCATAAAGATTTAATCCTCAGTATGAAAAAGGTGATATTTCTTTCTCTTCTATCCCTGTGCTGTGCAATGAATGAAACACCATTCCTTATATTTAAGGGATGTCCCCACAGAGTGCTGCCTTGGAAGCAAGCAGCAACTCTCATTAGCCATAAAATATACTGGACCCTTAATATTGTAAGTATCAGTTCCCAAGAGCATTTTATTATTCACAAAATCAAAACATTAATTCTTACCCACAGAAGGTTAGATTTAGGCAATAACATCAGGCATAATGGGATTCCTATGGATATGGTTCAATAACGTAATATACCAACAGATGCTTCTCCTTGGCAAAAAGAACCATGGATTTGCTTAGAAAGTTTAAAGGGACAATGTGGAGAAGCAGGCATGACACTTTCACCTAGTGAGAGGCTGTGGAAAGATCCAAAAGAAGAAAAAAAAATGTTTGTGCCATTGAGCAGGACCAAATGCAAAACAAAGCCAGAGCCCAATCATAGCTACGAACTTAGCCCTGAATATGGAGTTCAGTATAGACTGGATAAGGATCCAGAAGGATAGCATGTGTGGAATCTCTGTAAGGATTATGCTTGCCATACCTGCCTAGGCTTAGTGTATCCTTGAATTTAAAGTTCAATTTCAGGATCCATTGTGGTGTAAGCATGTAGGGACAAAGACATTCAAGATACCATCTCCTATCATACAACACCTCTGTGACCTGTCAGGGAAATCCAGCTGTGTCTTCTGCATAATTGTGACCACTTGACCACTCTGATGAGTGTCTGTGGTCTCCAAGATGCTCTTTAATGCTCACCAGAATTTGTATATTTCTCCCCCTTGATGGGCATAGATAGGCTTTTGTTAATGAGGTGAAGGCCACATGGCGTATGTTGCAAAACAAGAAATACAACATTCAGTGAATGGAAGTATTCAGCTGAAGGATGAATAATTAAAATTGGAATGCATTGTGATGAAGTGTTAGGGGAGCCATGTCTAGGAGCATATCTATATGATGTCCCCTTCTTAGACTTAGCCCTTTTAATTGCTAGGTTTTGTCACCCTAGTAGGTAATTCTTCTAAGTTTGTCACTGTTGTTCTATGTTGCAGCCAGTTACTATCTAGTATAGACGACTTCAGCATATATTGAAAACATATGCAACTGGAACAGCTCCTTGTTATATTAACAGAAATATGTGGGTTGAAAGGCAGGGTACTCCATGGATCACACTTTTGAAAACGTCCCCACATCTAGGTCTGAGGAGAAAGCTTGTAAAATGACACCATGCCCTTGCTGCCACTGGTAATTCTGAATGAGCAGCACATTGATTGTTTTTTGATTTTCTGCCAAGGAGGTGGAAAGTTTTAGGTAGAGCTCAGGCTCCACATTTTGATTCAGCACATGTGGCTTTATACAATTTCATTCATGCATTCACTCATTAATTCATGTTTTCTTTGATTAAATACATATTGAACAGATGTGGAGGAAATAACCAATGACAACAGAACATTATAACTAGGTATTTAACTGAAGCAGGATACAGAAATATGAAACAAATCAACAGAGAGAAATTGAAGAAATTCAGAACATTGAAGGGGTACTAGTTTATATAATTCCGAATTTTAAAAGCTGATGCTAGCTTTGAGGCTCTTCTATGCTTAGACTGAGGAAAAGGAGAGACAGTTGGGGATGACTTTACTTGTGCTGGATTTGAAGGAAAGTGTGGCTACTGGATTTAAGAGTGAGGCATGTAGATAATACAGCTGAATTAGCTGGCCAGCGCATGGCTCAACTTTCCAGAGAGGCCCCAGGGTTGAGGTCCCAGGGTTGATGGTTATGCTGGGCAACTTCAACAGAGTATTGTGTGGGAAAATCTGTATGTAGCAGAATGCCATCCTTCCTTGTTTCCTCCTACAAGTCTAGTTTTCAGTTAAAGAGACAGAGAACATGAAGTCAATACTCATCTAGAAATAAGAGTTGGATGAACTTTATGATCTTTCTTTCTTCCTTCCTACGAGCAAAATATCTCTAGGGTAAAAAGAAAAATGCCAGAAAAAGCATTGTGAGGCCAAGAAAAACTTCAAAATTATCACTGAATTCATTTTGTATTGGCCATTAACTGCTGGGCATGCGACCTGCCCTTAAGAGTGATTTGTTTTCTCAGTGAGACTCCCTTGAAGAAAACTAAGTTTTCATTTAAGAGTGGTTATCCATTCAAGATAGTTTCTGGGTTAGGGATGGGAGTATGTGTTCACTTCTCAGTGCTGGGATTCCATCTGCCACAGATCTATGCAGGACCTGTGCATGCTGCCGCGGTCTCTGTGAGTTCATATGCATGTTGGTTCTTCTGTGTTTAAAAGACCTGGTTTTCCTTGAAGTTCTCCATACCCTCTGGCTCTTACACTCTTTCCACCTTCTCTAAAACATTCCATGGTAACAAAGCAACAGATAAGAGACAAACTTGCAGTGCCAGGAGGCCAAAACTTTGTATATAGTGCTTGTTATGCATGAGATCTGGACAGTGAGTTTTCCATAGTTCAGCGGCAAGGCGTCATTCCAGCCATACCCTTCCATAGAAATGTAATTTATAAATGTGAGAAAGAAAGAAAACTCTAATTAAACTGAAAATTATAAACACAGCTTCCTAACTATTGAGTGTCCTTTGTTTGCTGCACATTCAATACAGTGTTACCTGCCATTCAACTTAAGAACTCGAGGCTCTGTAGGAGCATAGCCACTGGAAGTCCTTCAACCTCCCATGGACTTAAACCTCAAAGCATCTATCATTTCATTATATACCTTTTCATGTTTTGTGCTCTGGATCCCCATTTTGATGCCTGACTGGATGGTAACTCAAATACTTAACTACAGTACATAATCATGCCATGTTTCCAAAATATGATGGAGGCCTTTCTCTATATATACAGTGTCCTAACATCTACTTTGTCTCCTACCACAGCTCCTCTGTAATATAGATTTTGTTTTAGTTTCACAAGCTATTTCCATTTCACTGATCTTAAAATACAATTTACACTAGTAATCACTGTTTTTTTAAATTAACTATATTTTCTATTTTACTTTGATCATACAAAATTGTAAAATAAGGTTAGAAAATTTGATACAGTATGCAGCATGAATTAATCAAATAATAGCAATTATTCAATTTTCTCAAACTTTAAAGAAAATATTATCCTGAGTGAGGTAACCCAGACTCAGAAGGATAAACATGGTATGTACTCACTCATAAGTGGAAAGTAGATGTAAGGCAAAGGATAACCAGAAAACAACCCACAGCTCCAGAGAAGTTAGTTAATAAGGATAATCTTAAGACAGATGGATGCATGGATGGCCATGAGAAGGGGAAATAGATGAGATCTCTATGAGTAAACTGGGGGTGGGGGGGCAATGAGGGTAGAGGGTAGGGAATGAGAACATAAGGAAATGCAATGGTCAAGCTGGAACAGGGATGGAGTGGGAGAGCAATGAAAGAGACAACATGATAGGGGGAGACATCATGGGGATAGAGAGAAACCGGGTGTTAGGGAAGTTCCCAGGAATACCCAAGGATGACCCCACCTTAGACTACTAGCAATAGTGGAGAGGGTGCCTGAACTGGCTTACCCCAGTAATCAGATAAGTGAATACCCTAACTGTAATCATAGAGCCTTTCTCCAGTAACTGATGGAAGCAGATACAGAAATTCACAGCCAAACACCAGGCCAAGCTCCAGGAGTCCAGTCGAAGAGAGAGAAGAGGGATTCTATGAGTAAGGGGCATCAAGATCATGATGGGGAAACCTACAGAGACAAGCAAACCAAACTAGTGCAAACTCATGAACTTTAG